TATAAATAATTTTTTTAAAATTTTTTAAAATTAAATTAAAATAAATTACATAATTAATATATTATTTATTAAATTGAACATGAAGATGGGCAACAGCAAGTCAAGGTGGGACCTGGGAGTCGATATACGCTCACTGACTCGAGAGCTAATTCCAGTCCCAATTATTTATTAAATTGAAATAAACGGTATAATTAATAAATTATTTATTAAATTTAACCGAGAGAAGAGTAACATCAAGTCAGGGTGGGACCTGGGAGTAGATATACGTCACTGACTCCAGAGCTAATCCCGGTCCCAATTATTTATTATTTTTAAATGCAAACCTACCCATGATTTATGCTTCTCATCTACTCTAAAGGAAGAGAAATTTCTCGGTGCACGAGAATACCGTGTTGACGGTGTCTCCATTGACTTAAAGCATGACAGATAAGCATTGCGCGTCAGTTGAAAAGTATAGACAAGCGGAAAAACACCACACACTAACGGAGTTATAGTCCATTTTTTAACTTTAACGTTTTTTTACAGCCGTCTTTGAGCTCTTGCATCTCTCAAAAAAAGCTTTGAGCAAATTTCTTTGCTAATCATCTCCTATTCCTTCTCATCCACGTTGTGTCTTCCTAAACAAGTGCAGTTCCTGCTTTTCTGGATTTGACCCCAAAATCAGGATGAGAGTAGCCATGGTAGCTTAATATCAAAGAGTAAACAAATCGGAAGAAATACATTGGTTTTGATTTGGGTTTTTTGGTTTTTCGATTTTGATTTTTAGGGATTTTTGATTTGGGAATCTAGGGATTTAAGGCAAAAGATAAGGAAACTGAAAAGGTTAAGAAATCTAAATGGATGAAAAGAAAAGGCGAAACGAGAAACTAAAGAAATAAAAGGGAAAGCGAGAAGAAACTCTTCGAAAGCACCAAGGCAATTCTCCATCGAAGAGCAAAGCTCTCACCACAGTGGGCACAACAGCATGAAAGTACTAATCCATAGCCATCTGCCTCTGCACCTGCCCAGGCGTTGACGATTGAGATGGAGAACTGTCGAACTAGCAAAGACCGACTCAAAGTTAGAAGAGTTAGAGGAAGAAAAGGAGGATTGAAAGGAAGATGAGAAGGGAAGATGAGAAGGGACCGGAGATGATTGGCAAAGAAATTTGCAGC